TTGTTATTACTCGCGAAATATATTAATATCGTGAACTATGTTTTATTCGCCCAAAGCTGGACTTCTCCCTACGCCAAATACTCCTAAAATTCATTCTCCAAACCCAGAAGATTATGTCAAATGTTCCTATTATCCTATACCAGTTCAAGCGGTCAACATCATCGAGAGTTTTAATATTCGTTGTCAACCAACTTGGGATATTAATGTTGCGACTAAATATGTCAAATTCAAAGCCGAATGGGACCTTTGTGGCCAAGTATATACGAGCGTCAATGTTGATGTATTTCCTAAATCAGTCCTTGGCTCCCTAGCTACATATAACCTCGATCAACCGTTCTGGAATACTTCGTTTACTGGCAAGAAACTTTGTTTGAAATTAGAATGGAAAGTGCCTAGTCAGCATTCTCGTATTAATGTTTCAAATTCATCAATCTACAACCAAAATTCAACTGATTTCGCCCTTAATTCCTCAACAAACAGTCCTTCAAGTTTTTCTACACCCTATCGCGTCGCGATAATCAAAGTTATCAAGCGGACTCTGGTTATAAATCTGCGAACAGGTCCGATAGTCATAATGAATCGCCAATATATTCACGGCGTGCGTATAATGAAAACATTGCAAACTTTCCAAATAACTCGCCTGGGACTTGCAGTAAATTGTTCAAATCGCCTCGAAAATCCGTTAATAGACAAGATCTCTACAGTCCTCAATCGGTGGATACGGCTAATTCGAAGCAATTCCCGGCTCCTCTTCAGTTGATGCCTTAATTAGCTTACTGCACTCCCTATACGCTGACTCAGATGGAAATGGTAAAACTGTGCGTTTATTCCTACTGGACTTCAGCAAGGCTTTCGATCGGATTAACTATAAGATACTAATCACAAAGATGCGCAAATTGGATATAAACCCATCCGTTATCAATTAGGTAATTGACTTTTTGTCCGGAAGGAGACAGCGGATTAAAATGGGTAACGTATTTTCAGATTGGTCTGCAGTAAACGGTGGGGTACCCCAAGGAACAGTGCTCGGTCCTATACTCTTCTTAATTATGATAAATGACTTGGTTACTGAGCATGATCGAAGGTGGAAATTTGTGGATGATACAAGTGTCTCTGAAGTTATTAATAAAGGTGAGCAAGGAAAGATGCAATCCCTTGTTAATGCGATAAACAGCTGGTGCATAAAGAATGACATGAAACTTAATCAATCTAAGTGCAAAGATATGATCATCTCGTTTGCGAGAGATCCTACAAAACTGGACCCAATCTTCGTAAACAATCACAAACTAGTTCCTGTATCTTCAGCAAAAATCCTAGGCACTTATATTTCCACAGACTTGAAATGGAACACACACATAAACTGTATTGTATCCAAGGCTTCTAAGCGCCTATATTTTTTACGCATATTAAAACGGGCTGGACTTGATCATACATCCCTTTTAACCGTCTATACTACCTGCATAAGATCAGTCCTCGAATACGGTTGCCAATTATGGAACTTTGGTGCTTCCCAATACCTTTCTGATGACGTCGAGCGGGTCCAAAGGCGAGCACTAAGAATAATCTATCCTGAGCTATCTTACAGGAAGGCCTTGGAAGTTATTCCGCTTCCAAGTCTTTCACAAAGACGAGATGAACTTTGCAGATCACACTTTAAAAGAATGACTAAACCAAGTCATAAATTGCACGATCTTCTCCCTGACAAACGTACTAACAATCTTAGAAATAACGACAATTTTACACACATTTGGTCTTGTACCAACCGTTTTAAAAATAGTTATATACCAAGTAGTGTAGTATCTTTTAATACCTATAAGTCTTAATAAACTATATAATATATAATCATATCTTAATTATTAGTCTTTAACTTGTAATTTATAAACTGTATTTTTAGAACATTTATGTAAACCGAGCAATTCAGCTTTGTAGCTGCAAATCGTTTTTTTTTGTATAATAATAATAATAATAATAATAATAATAATAATAATAATAATAATAATAATAATAATAATAATAATAATAATAAAGTATTACCCCGAAATCTGAGAATACAAGTGAAAATATAAGCCCCAAAGCTGATCAAGTTAAAATTAATAATTCGCCGCAGTGTAATAATAGTCAACACAGTCTCGACAGTAATAAACAGAGTCACGCAAGCGATGTTAAACCGGATTTGTCAGTTATTCATGAAAATTCTGACGACGAGGAGCTGTATTCTGATTCCGACTATGAGCCGGCCAGTGACTTTGATCCAAGAACAAATTCTTTTGGCCTTTCTCCTAAAAAACTGTCCTTTTCAAACGGATATTTGTCTGACGCAATCGATGCCGAATTCATGAATTTAAACGGCACATGCAGATTATGCCATGATTCTATTCCCTCCTACCTCGCCCAACTTCACGTAATTGAATGTCCGAAGTCTGATCTTGATCCAGTTGAAGAATTTTATAAAACGTGTGCTACGGATCTCCAGACCAACAAGGAGAAAATTTAAAATTATGTCAAAGATCACCTACAGTACAAATTTAACGATGACCAAATTCCCAATGACACTTTCAAGAATTGCGAACAATTTTATAACTTTTCTAGTATCATTGATGAGTTAGAGAAATCTCAAACCCGCAGATTCTTTGAGAAATGCGGTACACCACCTTCTAGAGTAATAAATATTCTTAGCTATGAACATCTAGCATAAAGTACGATATTTATATCGGACACGATCTACCACTTTGATATTTATATGACCATTAATGGCACTAATTGTTATAATGACTAGGACTATTAAAGCTAGATTACAGTCGCTTCTGCGCATGTGTCAAAAATGTAAGCAAATGTGAGCACACATGTTTTGATTTTGTGTGCTCTCCAGTCCTTATTCGGATATGCGCGCTCAAAATGGCCGACTCGTAAGAGTTATATAATAGAGCCGTCCACTTCAAAGGCAAATTCTTCTAATGCTGGTCGCCAAAACCAACCAGGAAATCGAAAAGAACATTTCGCGAGAAGGTATGCAACGAAAATGTACTTTAATGATACTATTGGTCGGTGAAATCATTTCAAAACTAAAGCTGGAATTAAAAGTGACGAGGGTTCGCGAATACTATGCTGATCGAGCCTGTATACGAAACATCAAGACGGATTTAATTGTGGTAAGCACATATAAACACATATCCCTGGATATTTCAGTTATGTTAATGTTGTTATATTTCCTCATTACAAAATTTTATTGTTCACTTATAGCGCTGTGGAAACCCAGACGGATCAGTAGCCAGATGAAACAATACAATGCAGACATGAGCCATTGCCAGTATATGTTCAGCAAGGGGAAGAAACAGCAATGGAGCCATATAAAGATTCTTAAAGATTCTCCTAGGCAGTACGAATACATCCTACAACTTATAATGAAGGTATGTATAACATTTTATGCTTTCCTGAATCCTAGTGAGAAAAAAAGTGACTTTTAGTTTTCACTTTTCATTATGAAATTCCATATTCTTCATATCACATTTTCAAACAAATATTTTGATCGTTCTGTAGGCATGTTGATTGACGTGTTTTAAGAGCACTTAAGGCTTTTTGGAAAGCCAAATTTTGATTTGCATGAACATTATTAACAAAATCAAAATGTGGCTTGAAAAAAGCCATTTAAGTGTTTTTAAAACACATTGGTCAGCAGCATTTAAACAGGAATAAAACTAATTATAAGTCTTCTTTAGATATGTGGAATGGTGTTGCAAGTGATTACCGAAGGCAAATCGCTCCTAACATAACCCCTGTCCCTCCTCCTTCAGTCAAAGAACTTGTTGAAACCCATCAGTATAAATTCAACTGATCACTGTAGACAAGTGTCTGCCAGTTAAAACAAAGTGCTCTGTTAGGTGGAGCTCATAATCCCTGAAAGGCAATCCACCTAGGAGAAGGAAATCTGATTACAAACCCCTGGACCCCAATACTGAGCCAGGGTGTCCATATTGGATTCATTGATCTTCGGTGCACAGCAATACACTTTTCAGGACTGAAGTAAGGAGCAAGGAGTAATTTTAAAGAATAAAAAAATCAATGTCAATATACAAAATGTTGTGCTTGAACATCCAATGTATTTGATAACTGGTCTTTTATATAATGAAATATTACTGTTCATAAACATTTAACCATTAACATGATAAAGGCTTTCATTTGTTAGCAAAATTTGCTGTGGTTAGTAGACAGAGAAAGCTTATAATAAGTTTGAAGCAATTTTGAACTGCAATTTTCTTCTTTTGGTGTATGTGTTAGAGTAAATAATCAAGCCATGCAAAGTAATGTTTCCTGTAATTTTGCTAAAACACAAATGCCAAAAGGAGAAAATCAAAGTTTAAAATCGCTTGTGTGAATGGGCCTTAACAGGTGTGAATTACCCAAGTTCTTTCAAAATATTTAAAATGATCCTCCCTGTCATGGGGAGATAATTGCAGTAAAATGGATTAATGAATAATAAAGTTTCCCTCAATGATCCCTCTAATGCATGGCCATGTCCAGATCGAACATTTCCATCAAGTACTAACTGTGCCACTGTGGGAAGAGAGGGCTAGGCGGTTATGCAAGGCTGTCTTGATTGTGTACAGCATTTGTTTACCCATTTTGTTGGCATTGCAACACAGCATCCACATTTGTAATACTCTGAGGCATTTTCTGGTTTTTCGTAGCTGGGTCTGGTTGAAGCGGTTCACCTGGCAATTTACCAAATTGACAAATGCAGCTGCCTGATGCTGTATAAGCTCTAACGCAAATGCTCTTCAAAGGGCATTTAAATCCATTGCTTCCACAAGATTCTGAAATGAATATATTAAATCCATTGCTTCCACAAGATTCTGAAATGAATATATATATCATTAATTAAATGCAAAGACTCAAGCACAGTGAAACACAGATATTTCTTACCACCAAATTACTGCATTTTCACAGCTATGTACACTTGTATATAGACAGGTAAGCCTTTTTACATAATTTGATATTTTACCCGGCAAGGATATGCATAATTATGTGGGGTATTTAATAAAACAAATCATGTGTGTTAAA